CAATATATGAGTTGCCTATACCACTAGAAGATTAATTTAGCATTTTATGTGCTTAAAAGTCGGATTTTAGCATTTTTGTGCAGAGGGAATCGATCCCCCCATGAGGGAACCGATTCCCCCTTTGATGGGGAACCGATTCCCCCCACAGGGGAATCGATACCCCCCTAGGGTTCTGTTAAATCGGGCAGAACACCCCAAAAACCCCAAAACCCTCATTTTTCTTCTTCTTTCGCCGTTTCTCACCCTCTAAGCACTCAAATCTTCATTCTTGCCTCAAATCATTGATTTAATCGGAAATCACTTCAAATATCATCTCCTAAACTTGCAATCATTATTAAAATCGTGCAAACAACATCTAAATCCCCTCAATCTTCATCTTTCAAGGTAAATTTTTCTAAACTCTCTATTTCATTGATTTTGAACAGAGGATTAGTTTTAATTAGTTCTAGGTTGAAATAGTGATCGGACATTGATTATTTAGTGATTAGAAACTAGATGTTACAACTAATTTCATCAAAAACACAAGAATTTTCCAAAATTTTTAATTTTTCGAAATAAAAAAATGTTAATTTTCAAATTATTGTTTTGATTAAATTATGTTGTTGTTAAAAACTATACATATATTGTTTCTCAAAACCATATTTTTCAAAAGTTTTTCAAAAACTTTGCCCATTAGGATTGATTTAGAGAACCTTGAAATATTGAGGACTCATTTGAGTTTTGGGATTAATTGAATTGCATACATTGTTTTTAAAATTGCAGGTTATCAATTCTATTCCGATTTCCTAAACCATGTCCAATCCTAAACGTGCTAGGTCTTCATCTAGTCGTTCTAGTCGTCAACCAAATCCTCCTCCTATTCCTCAAAATCCTATTCCAAATCTTGATCCTAACTTGACTATCCAAAATTCTTGTTTCAATCAATCGGGTCCTAAAGATTATCGTTATTGGTTTTACCAATATTTTGACTCGTATAAGATTAGGGAAGAACGTATCCCATCTCTTCAAACTATGGTTGATATTAACTTTAAATATCTCCCTATCTTGCACAAATGGAAATTTGATAAACTTTTCGAACTTGAACCCATTGTCTATCATCAACTTGTTCGTATCTTCTACTGTAATGCCGTTTGTATCAAAAATCGTGACAAAACCAAAACCATAGGAGTGCGTTCCTACCTCCTAGGTCAATATTTCCATCTTGATCCGGATTACATAGCCAATGCCTTAGGCTTAGATAATGAAGGTTTATCAAACGAAAAACAAGTTTTAGGCTCACGATATAAACGGAATGATAGTGCAAGTGTTTTAGATCTCCATGAGCGTTTTCTTCATCTTATGATCACTTGGTGGTTTCGACCATCCGGGGGTCGTTATTCTACTCTTAGAGCTTTAGACCTTTGGTGGTTGCATTGTTTTGAAAACAATATAAAAATAAACCTTTCCGAGATTATCTTTGCTGAGATCGTTGAAACCGTTAACTTAGTGCCAAATAAGAAACTCTGTTCTTCACTAGTTTACGGTTGTATCCTTAGTAATCTCTTTTCTAAAGCCGAACTCCGAGTTGGTCTAGATGCCTCATTTCCTCTTAAGAAACAAATCAATCTTCTTTCTTTAACAAGAGCGGGATGGGTCAAAAATAAGGAAACCGGTGCATGGGTTTGATCTTCTACTCCGGGAGCTAGTTCTTCACAAGCTCCACCCGAAGCTGACGAAGATCCCGAGTTTGAACAATTAATGAGGGATATCGATGAAGCTGAAGAAGAACCTGAACAACCCGAGGAGCACGCACAACAATCGACTCAAATGCCTCCATATTTTCAATCCTTTATGGAGACATTGATTTCCGTTATGCGACAATGGATTCGCGCTTTCCTCTATAGAGTCTCATTTATCCACAATGGGAGCTCAACAATTAGAGATTCTTCAGGAGATGCGTGCAAACAATGAAGCAACCAATGCTCGTATTAATGAACTAACTCATGAAATGGCTGCTATGCGAGCCCGTTTTCCTCCTACCGATCCGGATGCTTGATTTTGTGTTTAGCTTTAAAACTTTGAACAAAATGAATATTGTTTCAACATTTTGAATTGTTTGATTTTGTGGATTGTTGGATTTTGGATTTATGGATAGTGTGAACTTATATGTTTGGTGTTTTATTCGTTATTGCATCATTTACATCATTATTAGCAATATGACCAATTTTGCCATATCACATTATTTATGAATATTGATTATGGAACTAATGGCTAACGTTTCTCTTAATTGTGATCTTAGCAGCTTATGCATACATATACCTAATCAAATGGCTTAATATTTTTCACGTTTATTTGAATCTTTTTGATTTAACAAAAAGGGGGAGAAGAAGTGTGTTTAAGTGTGTGTTTTTAAAATGATAAATGAGAGAAGTGTTAAAGTAAGGGGAGTAATTTCAAAACTTGATTTCAAAATCTTAAAATTACTAAAATGTTTTGTTATATCAAAAAGGGGAGATTGTTGAAAACATTTTGATATTTCGATATAACAAATTAAGTTAAATGAATTTTAAGATTTTCCAAAATGATTTTCTAAAGTATGTTCGATAAATTTATTCGAATATAAAAACATTACTCCAAATATTTCAAAAATCATTTTTAATCCTTACTTAAGTGTTAAATTAAGTTTTAATCTTAAAACAATTTCAAAATAATCTTTCAAAGTATTTCGAACCATTTCAAACCCAAAATTTCCAGATTGCTCAGAGGGAACCGATTTCCTCCCATAGGGGGTACCGATTCCCCCCTGAATGGTTTGACTCCGAGATTTCCAGAATGCTCGGAGGGAACTGATTCCCCCATAGGGGGTACCGATTCCCCCTGTTCAACGGTCGAAATATTTGAATTTTACACTTAGGGAACCGATTCCCTATAAGGAGGAACCGATCCCCCCCACGCTCCAAGCTGTTTTATTAATTATTTTCACACTAAAACGACTATATTATCTTCATTAATTATCCCCAACATTCAGAAGTGATTCAATGTGTATTTAAACAAGTTCTGAAGCCCTTGATCAGCAAGAAATCATAGAGAAACAAGAGAGAAAGCATCAAACACAAAGTTTGTGCAATTCAAGCCAATTTTCATTCAATATTCATTTTGCTTTCAAAGAACACTTATTGTGCTCATTTGTAATTTTCTTTGAGTGTTCTTTTCTTGTTCTAGAATTGTGCAAACATCTTACCTTGTGAGGTTTTCTTGTAAGTTTGCAAATTTGTAATCTTCTCTTTGGGAAAAAGAGTGTTCTCAAGAGTTGGGGTATACTCTTGAGGGAATTGTAAGGTTATCTCTTTGGCCTCAAAAGAAAGAACAAATTAGTGAATTTGTTGGAAAATCCTTAGTGTGGATAGCTAAGGTAGTGGGCGTAGACTTTATTTGAGAAAGTCGAACCACTGTAAATCGTTGTGCAATTACTTTCAATTTTCTGCAAAAGCTTCCACAAAAATTTTAATTGCCAATTCACCCCCCTCTTGGCCGATTCCGTCAATCGATTAACTCAACATAAATAGCAGTCCGTTCAGACATTCTACTATACTAATTGCCCCCATAAACACGTAGCGGTGTCCAACCAACACTTTCTACACGTCTTGGCGATTTCGATTTCTTCTTCTTGCACTTAAACATTAGCAGAACTGCAGCCACAACCAAACAACATATAACAAAGCCACCAACAATAAAACCCTCTAAAATCCAAATGTTTTTCTTCTTAGACTTAGCTTGCAAACCTATAGGATTCACCAACTTCATGATCTCAGCCCCATTTAGAATCGCATTAATTTTCTAAGGAGTGCTCAAATCTGAAGGTCCAACACTCACACGAATAACCCAGAAATGCAAACCCAAAATCACCTAGAGGACTAAACATGATTTCAAGAACTTCACCATCAATTCTAAGCAAAAACTCTTTTAGCACAGTATTGTAAGCACTAAAACCACGCAATAACAAGAAGTCATTAGCTAAAACATCAAATTTCGCAGAAGCGAAGTTGAAATTTTGAGCTATAAACAGAGAGAAATGGAGGCTTACCAAGTGAGTTGCATTCTCGTTCTGCTTGACGTCAAACTCGTAGCTCGACTCGGAGGTGAAAACCCGGGCCGTGCGATATAAAATGGGTGAACTCGGAGATGGGTTTCTGTCAGTGAGTGAAACAGATCGCTCAGCCGAGAGGGAAACCAAACTGGGTTTCACTGAATCATATATGAAGACACGATTATAAAGGGAAGCGTTGGCATTTGATCCACAGTTGAGGAGGAAGTTATTTTTAGGGACGAAAGATTTAGCTAAGTAAAGGAGTGAAAGGAAAGTTAGAGCTAAAAGGTGAAGCCTTTGAGCATCCTTGGAAGGTCATAAAAGAAGGGGAGAAGGCTTTTGAAGAAACTGGGTCATTTAATGGTGATTTGGCCATAGAAGTTGATGGTTTTTCTAGTCATATCTGAAAGTATTTCTTTTTGCATAACTTCTATTACCTTGTGTCCACTTTGCATAACTTCTATTTTCATATGTTTGACTAACATTGCCTTCTTTTTCTTTTTCCTGTTAATCAGATTCTTTTCTTATCAGGAGTAACCTAATCAAGCAGGGAAATTATGGTGGTGGTGATGAAGCAAGGGAGGGAAAGGGTTTTTTTTTGGGGATAAAAAGGAGTGTCTTGCATGATGGTGTTAAGGAAGAAGATGGGGAAGAAGATGGGGTTGGGTTGAAGAAGAAGAAGAGTTGGTCAAAATGGTCTAGTTGTGGCGGTCAACAATCCATGTCAGCATATAACGGTCCAGCTGTATTTTCCGTCAAGCCTATTAACGGCTCTTAACATCGAGTGACCATGTTGTAACAAACGATAACGTTAGTAATCGATTTGTAACTTTTTAAACATCAGTGGTGAAAACGAAAACTACTCTAAACATGAGTGACCACTGGCTTAGTTTACCCTATTTTAAAAGCTGATAGTTTATTCCAAGATACAACATTACCAGAAACCATATAAACCTCCCCCTTTGTTTCCAAGAACCTTGTAATAAACAACACTCAACTCTCTCGCATATGTATGAAAAATGAAACATGTAATCAATGTATTTACAGTTATATTATACGTAATCCTATAGCAAAGAGTGATTCCCAGTGTCATAAAACTGGATCTCTTTTATGCTGTCTGGAGCGAAGCTTTTGTCAGTAAATTCGACAACCAGTCAGTCAATGCCTTATTAACAAGTTCTGGAACTTCATCATGTGGGCAGTGACCTGCCTGTAGGTTCACGACGGTTGTGTTCGGGTAGAATTCTTTGATGCGGTTAGCCTTGGCTGGACCAACCCAAGGGTCTAAGTCACCCCACAGCAACAGAAGTGGACAAGTTAGCTTGCTCAAGAAACTGTCCAGAGTGTACTCGGTTTGATTTAGCATGAACCGTGTCATCAACCTGAGGATAATCGACAGTTCAAACAGTGATAGCTGTTGCAGGTATATGTTGTTTTCGTTTTCAAAGGTTTACGTATGCTTTGGACAAAGAGTGCCAAACATGGAAACTTCAATAAAAATAAAGAGTTGAAGCAATCTAGATACCTATAGTACACTTCTCCGGCATTGGGATCATTTGCCGGCATTTTTATGGATTCCACAAGATAATCATCCACATTGGAGGTATTGATATACACCTGTTTTACCAAAAACATAGTAACTATCAGTATCATCAGTGGCTTGATAGCTTCCAGGAAACCATTAAAGATTGCTGATGCTACGTCTTAGGATGAATGTGAAGTTTAGTATTAGATATTGAGTTCATAAAAACAATTCAAACCTTTGACGTTTTGGATAAACTTTGCAAGCGAAGCAAAATAAATAAGGCTGTGAGTAACATACATTTTTTAGGACAGATTCGATACGATTCGGTTGCTTTGCTTGCCAGAATAGAACCCCAAGAACAACACGCTGGAAAATTTCCTTCAGTGGCTTTAAAATAGTTTTCTGCAAGAACGTTTCCTCAGATTTGGTGTTTTTAGCCTTTGTGTCTCCAAACTGTCCTGCATTATTCAGTAACACGAGTCCAACCACTTGTTCAGGCAACCCCACAGCTGCGACCAAGGCTGTAAACCCTCCAAGACTGAAATAAACAACGAACAACAGACTGTCATTTGGTCTGTTGTGTCAAAAGACAAGTTGCAATGACAATACAACTTATACCATTAATGGAACCGAAGAAATGGGTCAATGTATTTATGGGGATAAAAATGCAGACCTCAAGGTTTGCTTTCATAGAAAAGGGCATTCTAGAAGGTTATGCATTCGGAAATCTACTACTTTGTTGATTGTTAAAAGATATGTAAAGAGTCAGTGCAGCTTTATAGACTGCGCCAGATTTTCTGGCCAAGAAACTCATTGGACTTCTCTTTGACAAGTTCAAAAAGCTTAACTAAAAGAATGGAAGTAAAACTCTCAGTAGGCATCACACTAATGCAAATTTAGGAATTTCGACTAGTAAAAATGAAGCTCTTCGTACAGAAACTGCATCAATTATCATGTCAGCTTCATTTGAAGACATAACTCAGACTCATATGCAGATTGTTAGTGGAAAAAATGCAGCTTATTCATTCCATATCAGACAACAGCATGTTAAGATTCATTGTTATCACATCTTTTGATCATACATGTAGGAATGAGAGTAACTGTCAAGTACTTGTTCTTGATTGTTACCTGTTTCCAACTAACACTGCTGGCTCTTTTACTATCTCCTTCAGGAAATCAACAACTTGATCTCTCCATATCATTGCATCATACTCGATAATTGCTTTCTCACTCCACCCAAATCCTAACAAATCTATGGCATAAACTTTGTAATTTTTAGCCAATTCAGGTATGTTATACCTGCAAATTTGAAAAAAATAAAGAGCATTTAAGGCATATATGACTTAGAACCTGATTTTATAATACTGACACTAGATAACAATAGTTGAAATTAACCAGTATGCCATGAATATTTTCCGCTCCTAGCCTCTAATTACCATTGTTTCATTTCCACCAGAAACTTCAAATAACATGGAAATGAAAAGTTACATTATTTTTACAGTTGAAACAATTGTAAATCAATCCTTATAAACTAGTTTGAGCAATAAAAACATTAGATGGCAAACCTCCAGTGGAAAGCAGAAGCACCAAATCCATGAATAAGAACAATTGGGGTCCCTTCCCCTTGTACTACATAATGTATTTTCCGACCTCGCCATGTCCAGTAATTGTATCCGTCTGGCTTGAATGGTAATCTCTCCACTCCTAAAGAAAAACCAAAATTCAGTAAAAGGAAATCTAAAATTATAGGAGTACTACTTTTTTGTTGTTCTCAACAGAATTCTGTGTTTCCAAATGCAGTACAATCTCAATTATCAACTGTAGGCTTCCCTATGTGAACAAAACCTAGTGATGCTCCAAAATAGTCTGGTCTTAATCTAAGACAGGACACAAACTGACAGCTAAAAAAGTACTACTTTGTAAGAACCCAGATTCCAGGAACAAAATAAAAACTAACCCACAGTTCAAGAAGCAAAGAACAATTTGGTGAATAGTTAAAAACCTGACCTTGACCGGTTCGCTAGTCAAGGAAGAACCCATGACCGAGGCACCAGATGCCATAATCCCCTTTAAAGCAAAACCCCTCCTGTTTATCATCTCACATTTGCTTCCTTTTTAGTGCATGGCAGGTAAACAGAAGAGAAAGTAATCATATTTCTAAAAATAAAGGAAGCTAAACAGTGTTAAGAAAATAACAAGTTATAGATTCACAACTGAAATTAGCTTACTTGGCTGATGATAGACTCTTGAAGGAGCCAGAAACCTATTAGAGATTGGGTTTAACAATTCAGTTCTAACTGAAGGTGAGACTGCACACGAAGAAGAAGCCATTGTTCTCCTCCAAGAATGGTTCTAAAACCCTGAGAGTAAAAATGAAGAGCAAGCCTTTAAATTATTGGCTAAGAAAGGGGAAGCGATTCTCAGAACTTAAAAATGAGTGTTAAAGGAAGAGACAAGTGGAAACAGGGATGATATTTAAAGAGTTGGTTCTTAGAGGTTAAGGATTTTGAGCCGGCCAGTTCTGTGGCTGGTGTAACTCGAGGAGTTGTGGCAAACTCCAAGCCATGCATCGGAGTTTGATTTTCTTCCCATTTTCACTATGAATCTTTCCAATCTCCAGACATTTTTAGATTATTTAGGAAGTTGCTATATTTGAAATAGAAATCCATTAACCTGCAAACGGATGAATAATAAAGTTTTCCATCATAAAAATGAAAAACGAAGATAAAGAAAAAAATTTGAAAATAAGAAAAAAGATTGCAGTAAACGTTTCAAAATTATGACCTTGATTTTAAATTTACTTTTAATTTAGTCCTTAAAGCACAATATAATTAAATAATTGAAATAATTGAAAACGTTTCACAATGAACGTTTGTATTTCTATATATGTGATGTCTAAAGTTTTATATTTAAGAAATAACAATAATTTATTAATTACTGAAATTGTTTAGTTTGTGTTAAATTGGAATAATATTTAAATGTTAAGATTTTTTAAAAAGTATAAAATTATAATAAAAATATAAATATTTAGAGTTGATCTTAAAAAAATAATTTATATTATAGTGTTGATTTTTTTGTCCGTACAAAACGTATGCCCATTTTAATGGAATTGTAAGTATAGACATGAACTAAAATATATTTTTACAGTAGAACTAAATAAATTTTTAGGTATAAAATATGAACTAAAATATGTTGATGAAAGGGAGCTAAAATATTATTTTTGGTTACAGAAGGATTAAGATAAATTAAAATATTTTTACCGTAAAATGATTAAAATAAACTTTTAAATATATTACGTGATCCAAGAGACACTAGGGTAAACTACAAGTTTAGTATCTAAACTATTACTTTTATTTTATTTTGGTACTTAAACTTTATTTTTTTTAAATTCATACATAATATTTAGTTTATATTTTATTTTAGTATCTCGTGGTTAAAAACTTAATAGCGATGTTGCCGTGTCACCATAAGATAATGTCACATCATCATTAAAAAAATTAAAAAAAATACTGCATCAGCATTTATGTTAATTTTTTAACAGTGTGATACCAAATTAAAACCTAAAGTAAATATTAGGAATGATTTTTTTTAAAAAAAAGTTTAGGTGTCAAAACAGAATAAAAATAATAGTTTATGTACTAAACATGTAGTTTATCCTAGACTTTAATAATGATTTTTCAAGAAAATGAGAGGATGATTCTAAACGGTTGCGTTTAATGTGTAACTTATTTTGACTGAATTCGAGACCTCTCCCACATCCAACGGCTCATCCTCTTCAACTAGAATTTAAATTGGTTAACTGAAAAATCTCGTTTCCTGATTCACTTAAAAAATTCCCGCATTTTAACCGTTATTCTTCTCGTCGACTCCGGTCCCCATCAACTTAAAGAGAAGGAATATTGGCAATTTCAGGAAGGTTTTTTTCACACTCAACAACACAGCAGATTTCGGCTTTATGGGTTTCCTTCATTACTTTCAAGAATTTTCTCTCTCTCTCTCTTTTGTTAATTCTATCATTTGCTGAGTTTATCTTGGTTAAAAATGTTGTATTTAAGACTCCTGAAGTATCAGTGAAGATAACCAAGAATCTTCTGAAGTTATCAAAACAAAGGGTTAGTTTCGTTTCTTTTACAAGCATCGGGCTTTCGTTTCCATGCTTCTTTTTCCCGGAAACTCTTTTCATTTTCTCTGATCTGTTTTTTTTCAGAAGCTTGCAAAAATGAATGATCTAATGACAAAATCGTTCTTAAGTTATGTGGAACTGAAGAAACAAGCAGAGAGACTTAGAATCTGACCTCGATATCGAGAGAGGCTTCGATCCCACAAATGAGGAGAACCTCTCACACTTCTTCCAAGAAGTGGAAACAATCAAGGCCGCCATGGACGAGATTACCAGTCTCCTCTTAGATCTTCAAACCCTTAATGAAGAAACCAAGTCCGCTTACAGCACCAAAGTTCTTCGAGGGTTAAGGGATAGAATGGAATCAGACACGGTTTCCATTCTCAGAAAAGCAAAGATTGTTAAAGAAAAACTTGAATCACTGGAAAGATTCAATGTAACCAACAGGAAACAACAAGGGACTTGTGTTGATCGAACCAGGATTTCAGTCACCAATGGTTTGAAAGCTAAGCTTCGGGAAACGATGAAGGATTTCCAGGGCTTCAGGGAAAAGATTTTATCCGATCACAAACAAGATCTCAAGAGAAAATACTACGCCGCCACCGGCGAGTCACTGAGCGACGAAACTCACGGAAAAGTGGTTTCCACCGGCGAAAAAGTCGAGTTATTTGCAGAGAAAACGGAAAGGCATGAGGCTGTCATTGATATCCAAAGAAGTTTACAGAGGCTTCACCAGGTGTTCTTAGACATGACCGTGCTTGTCGAGGCACAAGGGGAGAAAATGGATACTATTGAAGAGAATGTGGTTAACGCGGGTAGCTTCATCAATGGCGGAACCAATAGTTTACGGTACGCTAATCAAACGAAGAAGAAGAGGAAAGGTTGGGTTTATTGGGTTTGGGGTGTTGCTCTGATTATACTTGTAGTTTTCATCATTTCGATTTTTGCTTCTTGAGAAGCAAAAAGATCCAGCAATGTTCAATTTCTTTAAGTAATGATTTCATATCACGATTACAAGACTCAACAAGAGGAACAGCCGAACAGGCACAAAAAGGATGCATAACCGCTAGCTACAAATAACCGTTCCTATTCCGGTTAGGGATGAAATAGGTCGAGTCCGAGAATATATATTTTTATAGGATTTAATTTCATGTCTAATCTATTCTAACATAATTTGAATTTAAATTTTTGTCAAATATAATTTTACATATTTAAGTCAAATCATTACTTATCAAATTCAAATTAAACGATTGTCTCTATTAGTTATTATAATAATATACTCGACAATTTAATATTAGTTTTACGGGCACGAATTGCCATCACCGGGCACCTTTGATGTTAACAAGGTATTGTAGTATGATACTTAGAAAAATTAACCATGGCATATATATGGTGTTGTATTTGATTTACGAAAAAAAATATTATTGAGATAATAATAATTTTAAAAAATAGTTCCATAGGGATTGTATCATGTGGTAATGTAATGGTAAAATAAATAAAATAATATTCTTTTTTTTTATTAAAATAGTATCTAAAAAGTTTTAATTTTAAAAATGACATTTATTTTTGTCATATAGGAAGAATGCGCTTTCACGTGGCAGTGTCTTGTCCTATGTTACGATCTGGGTGTAATTAAATATTAAAAAAAAACCATCTATTTATTATTTTAATTATATATTAGAGTATTTTTCTTACAATCGATATAATTAACAACTATCACACTATGAAATCGACGGACATAGCAGTCATTCATGAATAGAAGAATTTGTTACAACTTAACGTACGTGTTAGATCAAAATGTTGATACTTGCTCCTCCACCTATTTATAATGAGTGCGCTGCCATACCAAAATCTGAAAATGAAATGAGGGACTGAACCGGCGAGGGAGGCGAACAAATGAAAGAAAGACCCAGTGGATCTCATAATCTTAAGGACAACCTAACTGATGGATGCTGTTGTCCTACATGAACACTGAGAAGGCAAAATCAACCCACTTGTTTCCTGGGGCATATATGTTAGCTCTCAATCCCACATATTGTTGGAAATACTATTAGGAATGTGTATTTAAGATTTGGATTCTCCTTGTTGAGTGAAAGAGAACAAGGGGAGCTTTCGTGCACCGTTGTTGCCGTCTGGTTGGTTTGTGAATTATTTTTGAGTCAAATTCATCTGGACTTTTCAGCAGATACAATAAAAGGTTTTAATTATGATTTTTTATGGACGATTTTAACCCTATTTTTAGTCTATAAATAGAGAGTTGATTTCAGCTTCTAACTCACTTTCTCAATAGCTTTTCACTCTCTAAAGTATTTACATAGATTTATCTCAATATTTTTTGATTAAAAGTGTAATACTACCAATAGTCTACTCCAGTTTAATGTGTACGAAATTTGAAGCGATGGTGTTAACCTCGGGGGACGATCCACCTATTGAAGTGATTACATACATCAGGATGAATTCGTTTCTAAGACAGTGGTTTTACCACAACATGATTTACGAATTTATTTCTTTTAAATTACTATCTTTCCTGTCACTGTTAACGGTGTAATTTTGCAGTCCTTATTTCCTACGATTTCAGCAAACAACTTTTAAGACAAAACTCAAATTAGTTGAGTAAAATATGCAGTTTACCATTGCTGGTCTTCATCAATCCCTTTGGAACATCCTCACATGGCTCGAACCATTAGACCCTACCAAAACATAATAGAGAAGTAGGGTTTTTACATGGGCCCCGCCACCATCCACCCAAGGCTGGCCCTGGGTTCTGGCTGCCATGAATTCCACCGTTGATGGTGGTCCGGTGGATCACCTCTCTTTCTCTTGGGTTCATTAAATCAACCACACATTTTCGATTGTTTTAATGATTGTCGGATGACAAGTAGGAGACATGATTGGGATTTATGGTTTCTTTTAATTGTTTCTATCTATAAAATGTCTATTTCAGCTTTTAGTTTTCAATGTTTTTAATTTTTTTTCCTTTGAAATTTTGGATAATATTTAGTTTAGTTTGAAAATTTTAAATCTACTAATTAGAATATGAAATCTGTATTATTAATTTTATACATTATAAGTTATTATGTGGTATATTATTAATAAAAATAATTTTATAACAATGATAAAATTATAATAAATATCTTTAAATCTTTTCTAAAAACTAAAAATAATAAATATAATATTTTTTATCTTAAAGTCATTTATAAAATTATTTTCCATTATTATGTATCAATATAATTAATAAAATTATATCATTATTTTTACTAATTCGCAAATTTGAATTAAAAATAATTTTGTTATAAGATCAATGAATATTAATAAATAATTTAATTTAAACCAATATTCTTACCATATATTTAAATATTTAAGCATGAATAATTTAAACATTATGTGAAAATTTTAAAATATGTATTTTAAATTTTTATTAAAATAATAATATTTAATTAATTTTATA